AGCTAACTTTAACTTATCTGGTACTTTATGACACGTCATATTATGGCTTTCACGCACATTCCTTCACTTTACGTGCAGTTTGACGTCCTATGATAGACGTGTTCTGTTAAGGACATCTCCAGATAAAGATTTTTTCTACTTTATTTGAAGAAAGTTTTATTTCGTAAGGTTTATTCTCTTTATCAAATTAAGGGGTCGATTGGAAAGAAAGATACAGGAGAATACCTCTAATTCGAACTTCCAAGGGAAACAAAAAACAGCACGACTTAGTGGAGGTGATAGCAGGTGTAAATTAACTGAAATTTGGGACAAAGGGAACTTCAAGGTAAATTAGCTTAAGTTAACTCGCGGAGAGTTCCAGGTAACTATAACCAAGTAAGAGATAACATGTTCTACTGTATTTAAAAACGATCACACATACCATTTCATCTGTGGCCATTTCTCATTAAGCTATTATTCAAATGGGTACCTCACATCAAGTGCGTCATAACTGACTGGAACCTACTGATATACATATATTTTGATTCGTTCCAGTCCTGCATCGGAGACAGGATGGCCTAAAGGTCCTGGGGCTCGTTTCTAGAAAGTCCCGATAGAAAGCTGTAGTTGTTTACATTCAAGACAGAAGTTTCAAAAGTTTTGCAGACTCCATAAGAAATCTGTAAGTTAACGAAACAAAATTGACTTGTTTCTTTCGCTATGACCCTCCGTTTTCAATTCTTTAGATTTTAATTTACCGGGACTTTCAAGAAAAGTGCCCCTGGCGTTAACAATAACATTACGTCATCTGGAGTTAAACCAAATACTTGACTTCCACATTCTGTATAATATGACGATGCAATTATCAAAAACACTACTTCTAATAATCTAACAATGTTCTTTTTTATAAGCCTGCCAACGTACTATTAGTTCCGTGTTAGCGATAAAAGTTAGTCATCCAAGAAATTCATCTATCCAGGAAACAACTAAATAAAACAGTGAAGTTACTGCAAGCGATTTCAGAGTACAACAATTTGTATTTTGCGCAATATAAATATTAAATTATTATTATTAAAACAGTTTTAGGAAAATTCCAGAAAAAGGTTTCAGATAATTTTCAGGAAAACATAAGATAGTGTTACACTTATTTAAAACCTGCACTTTTTTTATCAGTCTCCTAAAAGAGCGTGTAAGTTAGAAGACTGAGAGAAACGTAGAGCCCCTACATTCGTGGCTTACAGCCATTATACACTGAAAAATCACTTAAAACTAGGAAAATAGGGCATAGTTAAATGCAGTTTAAGCATTTTCAGAGTATTACCAAAAGGAAATTATAATTATGGTCCTTCGTCGTTCTTCTATGTATCCAATCTTTACTTTAAAAGCAACACTTTAGGAGAATTTTCCCTATCTGTCCTGGTTTATTTTCATTCTCTCTTGAAAGAGCGCTTCGAGTTCCTCGTCCATTGCTTTCTTTATTTCCTCTTGTGTAGGAAAGAAACCCATCTCTTTAAACTTCTTGGTAACTTTCTCTTCAATTAACTTCAAATCACTGTTCTTTAGCCAATCCAGCACTTCTTTCAATTCCGCTTTGGCTTCCTCTACGTCTTTTTGTGCTGATTTCATCTGCTCCTCTCTCAGCTTTTCCATCAGTCGTGTAGAAGGTATCGCTAGCGAAAGATCCAATCCTTTACCGGCCCTCTCGAAAAAGACATTCACTACTTCATAGAATGCCTTATCAAGAGAAAGATCTTGAACCTCTTGATTAACGAATGTATTGAATTCTTCCTCTTCCAGTACTTTGCGATCGTCGCTTTCACTACTGTCGAGAAACCACAACGCGCAGAGATTTCTTGCAAGAATTGACTGGTAAGCATACAATGAAGTATTTATTACCCTGAGCATGTCGATGTTATCGCGCTCCATTGAGGAAATCTGTTGTAAACTTGCTACAACATCTTTGCACTTGCCGACAAAGACTGAGCGAATAGCACTTGAAAGCTTCATGCGATCTTCTTTCGAGAGGATTTTGTCCTCCATTTTTGCGAGTTGCTCTTCTAACTGCACCCCAACATTTTTAAGATAAGTTTGGGACTGAAAAGTTAGGGACTGGAGCTTTCTTAACAAGTTGAATGTCTTTGACAAAATATTGCATCTTACTTCAGCAACTTGAACAGCAGCTTCCTTCAGTCTAGACGGGTCTTTGTACATCAAGAGATTACTTTGTGGCATGATGTAATGAGGCAAATGACGCGAATCCAAGCACTCTTGAAGGCGATCCAACATGAACAGCAGACAGCTTCCGGAGTTGTCTTCTCGCCAGAAGACCTGACCTTTCTTCTCGCACTCCCAAAATAATAGGTTCTTCAAGTAGTACGTCGAAATAACTTCAGGAAAATAAAATTTCTTGACCATTTTCAGCAAAACAATTACATGACGTTGCACGGGTGATAAACTTTCCCCGAGTTTATTTTCGGCCAAGGAAAATGAGATACGCCATTCGGTTTCATCCATCGCCCACTTCTTGCAGCTCTCTTCCGTCGGACTGGGTAATGAAGAGTTGGCCAGTGTGGCCTCCGGGTTTCGACAGTAATTGAATACATCAACGGGCTCTTCAAGCCGTTTTCCCCTACCAACGGGAGCTAAATGGCAACCGGATTCGAATATTTCCTGGACCAGTTCAGATGACGGCCATCCACTTGGGCGCGGTCTGCTCAACCATTCCATAGCTGGCTCGGGCCAAGCATCCGGGTACTTGAAAACAGCGGCGTCATCCTCCTCGTAGTTTGTAAACCCACCACCTTGAAGTTTACCTACAGGCCCATGAAGACTGTACGTCCACTCGCGAATTTCCCCGTCAAATGTCTTTGCAGTCTTACCAGCCATGGCATGATCAGATGAAGGCAACAGAAATGCATGATGAAGGTAAGAAACGTTCTTATAACGAGGGCGATGATCTTTCCATTCTCTAGTAAGCCTTAGCTTTGCGTACATCTCATCGTCTTTTGCGTGTTCCGCAGTGAAGATAGGTATCATCTTGTTATCATCGTTCTCTAAAAAGGGCTCATTTTCTGTCATTTTGTCCAAGTCTGGCGTCCAGCGTTCCTTTATAACAAGTGTAGTGACCGTGGCTTGATCAATATTACTTTTCCTGAGAAGAAGCTGAGGTATGCAAAGTCCTTCAACTTGACTTCCAGTATCTTTAACACGTTCACTTGGACTTGCCAGGGATTCTGGATCTGCACGCCTTGCAATACTTCTTGTTTGGCAAAAAATCCAATCTGCATACACGTATTCCACTGGAAACATGCAGTTAATAAGTACTGAAAATGGCTGCAGCCAAATGTTTGATTTTTCATCGAAGGCTAGTGAGAGCACCTATTAGGAAAACGAAAACAGGTTTCAGGTTATAAAACTGTTCGTGCCACCGTTTTTACTATGCTAGAACTTGGGAACACGGAGTTTTAAATTATCATGATAAATTATTTTTGTACATTTTTTCCTTTCCAGAGAAATGAAATTGGGCACATAGTTTTAACTTGATCGCAAAAAAGGGGAAAAATAAGTTACTTTCCGAGATGTAGAGTAAATGCAAAAAGCGAAACCAAATGAAGAAGTGGGAAGGGATATAGCTTTAACTAGCTAAAATTTGTTTATTCTCGATAGTTTTGACCAACTAGTTGGATTTTACTAAAACAATTATTCCTCTCGCCCTCATGGCCTCTGAGTCAATAGCCCATGCGACCGCCATTTGGGCTTAAGGAATAAATAATATTGTTAAATATTTTCATTCAGTTTGATCAACCAAATTGTGATCCGCATGTTACGTGCATCCCTACACAAACGGTATTGGGATCGTGGTTCGAAACAGTCGGTTCAATTAAATTTTTCACAAATCAGAAATTGTATCAAATTCTATCAAATCAAAAAGTATTCAAGGGCGGTTTCAGATATTCTTGTCCGAAGTTTCAGTCCTTACGCATTTTCCAGAACCGTTGTCGCGAATACGAGATTGTTTCCAATAAGATAAGTTAAGATAAGATGAAATAATTTATTTAATGTAAAATACACAGGGAGTGGTTACCCAGTCTCCCGAGCCGGAGGCTCATATTAAAAGTGATTGACAATTTTAATTGTCAATTTAAAAAAATTTTAAGGAGGCTAAAAAATCTAAAATATTTTGCTGCACGTTTACACCACTATTTCTAAGATTTTACGGGGTGATACGGGGTTTTAAATAAATTGCCTATATAGCGAGGATCATCCTCTTTAAAACATTTAAAGAATATTGTCGAAGATTGTTCGATACCTCTATGTTCAAGAGAATTTATGTTCGCAATTTTAAGGAGAAACTCATAATCAGAATTTTTCCCATATTCATTGTTGTTCGTAAACCGTAATGATTAGCATCTTCTAATTTCTTTTTGAGTGTCTTGTTAACACCGATAAGTAACAAATTACAATATCCAAAATGCGACACTACAAAGCTCTTGTAGAGGACAAATAAAATATTTGTTGGAACTAAGCGTCTGAGGCATCGAGGAGCAATTATCTTAGCGTATGCTTTCTTCAGCAAAATATTTATATGTTCGATCCTTGAAAGATAATTGATTGTCCAAGTGTACTCCAAGAATCTTAAGGTGTTCTTTCAGACTGATGTAGGTGCCATTAAATACTACGTCATAAACGTAAGACGAGTTTCCAAGGATCATCCCTTGCGTCTTGTCCCCATTTGCCCGAAGATAATTGTAGTCAAGCCAGGATGAAATACTTTCCATGTCTTTATTTAAGGTAAATTGAAGCAGAGATGGGTTGTTGTCCACCCCGTATTGGGTAGTGTCGTCTGCGTAGAGGCGGAGTGACGAGACGGCAACTGTTTCGTTCATGTCATTCATACATTAAGATTTTAAACAGTAATGGACTAAGAATATTACCCTGAGGGACACCACAGCGTAGGGGTAACCAGTTAGAGCTTGAATCGTTGCATATTACCCTTTGTTTGCGGTCATGCAAATATGATCTTATAAGCTGAAGGGCTGGCAAAGATAAGTTTGGGACTGAAAAGTTAGGGACTGGAGCTTTCTTAACAAGTTGAATGTCTTTGACAAAATATTGCATCTTACTTCAGCAACTTGAACAGCAGCTTCTTTCAGTCTAGACGGGTCTTTGTACATCAAGAGATTACTTTGTGGCATGATGTAATGAGGCAAATGACGCGACTCCAAGCACTCTTGAAGGCGATCCAACATGATCAGCAGACAGCTTCCGGAGTTGTCCTCTCGCCAGAAGACCTGACCTTTCTTCTCGCACTCCCAAAATAATAGGTTCTTCAAGTAGTACGTCGAAATAACTTCAGGAAAATAAAATTTCTTGATCATTTTCAGCAAAACAATTACATGACGTTGCACGGGTGATAAACTTTCCCCGAGTTTATTTTCGGCCAAAGAAAATGAGATACGCCATTCGGTTTCATCCATCGCCCACTTCTCGCAGCTCTCTTCCGTCGCACTGGGTAATGAAGAGTTGGCCAGTGTGGCCTCCGGGTTTCGACAGTAATTGAATACATCAACGGGCTCTTCCAGCCGTTTTCCCCTACCAACGGGAGCTAAATGGCAACCGGATTCGAATATTTCCTGGACCAGTTCAGATGAGGGCCATCCACTTGGGCGCGGTCTGCTCAACCATTCCATAGCTGGCTCGGGCCAAGCATCCGGGTACTTGAAAACAGCGGCGTCATCCTCCTCGTAGTTTGTAAACCCACCACCTTGAATTTTACGTACAGGCCCATGAAGACTGTACGTCCACTCGCGAATTTCCCCGTCAAATGTCTTTGCAGTCCTAGCAGCCATGGCATGATCAGATGAAGGCAACAGAAATGCATGATGAAGGTAAGAAACGTTCTTATAACGAGGGCGATGATCTTTCCATTCACTAGTTAGCCTTAGCTTTGCGTATATCTCATCGTCTTTTGCGTGTTCCGCAGTGAAGATAGGTATCATCTTGTTATCACCGTTCTCTACAAAGGGCTCATTTTCTGTCATTTTGTCCAAGTCTGGCGTCCAGTGTTCCTTTATAACAAGTGTAGTGGCCGTGGCTTGATCAATATTACTTTTCCTGAGAAAGAAGCTGAGGTATGCAAAATCCTTCAACTTGACTTCCAGTATCTTTAACACGTTCACTTGGACTTGCCAGGGATTCTGGATCTGCACACCTTGCAATACTTCTTGTTTGGCAAAAAATCCAATCTGCATACACGTATTCCACTGGAAACATGCAGTTAATAAGTACTGAAAATGGCTGCAGCCAAATGTTTGATTTTTCATCGAAGGCTAGTGAGAGCACCTATTAGGAAAACGAAAACAGGTTTCAGGTTATAAAACTGTTCGTGCCACCGTTTTTACTATGCTAGAACTTGGGAACACGGAGTTTTAAATTATCATGATAAATTATTTTTGTACATTTTTTCCTTTCCAGAGAAATGAAATTGGGCACATAGTTTTAACTTGATCGCAAAAAAGGGGAAAAATAAGTTACTTTCCGAGATGTAGAGTAAATGCAAAAAGCGAAACCAAATGAAGAAGTGGGAAGGGATATAGCTTTAACTAGCTAAAATTTGTTTATTCTCGATAGTTTTGACCAACTAGTTGGATTTTACTAAAACAATTATTCCTCTCGCCCTCATGGCCTCTGAGTCAATAGCCCATGCGACCGCCATTTGGGCTTAAGGAATAAATAATATTGTTAAATATTTTCATTCAGTTTGATCAACCAAATTGTGATCCGCATGTTACGTGCATCCCTACACAAACGGTATTGGGATCGTGGTTCGAAACAGTCGGTTCAATTAAATTTTTCACAAATCAGAAATTGTATCAAATTCTATCAAATCAAAAAGTATTCAAGGGCGGTTTCAGATATTCTTGTCCGAAGTTTCAGTCCTTACGCATTTTCCAGAACCGTTGTCGCGAATACGAGATTGTTTCCAATAAGATAAGTTAAGATAAGATGAAATAATTTATTTAATGTAAAATACACAGGGAGTGGTTACCCAGTCTCCCGAGCCGGAGGCTCATATTAAAAGTGATTGACAATTTTAATTGTCAATTTAAAAAAATTTTAAGGAGGCTAAAAAATCTAAAATATTTTGCTGCACGTTTACACCACTATTTCTAAGATTTTACGGGGTGATACGGGGTTTTAAATAAATTGCCTATATAGCGAGGATCATCCTCTTTAAAACATTTAAAGAATATTGTCGAAGATTGTTCGATACCTCTATGTTCAAGAGAATTTATGTTCGCAATTTTAAGGAGAAACTCATAATCAGAATTTTTCCCATATTCATTGTTGTTCGTAAACCGTAATGATTAGCATCTTCTAATTTCTTTTTGAGTGTCTTGTTAACACCGATAAGTAACAAATTACAATATCCAAAATGCGACACTACAAAGCTCTTGTAGAGGACAAATAAAATATTTGTTGGAACTAAGCGTCTGAGGCATCGAGGAGCAATTATCTTAGCGTATGCTTTCTTCAGCAAAATATTTATATGTTCGATCCTTGAAAGATAATTGATTGTCCAAGTGTACTCCAAGAATCTTAAGGTGTTCTTTCAGACTGATGTAGGTGCCATTAAATACTACGTCATAAACGTAAGACGAGTTTCCAAGGATCATCCCTTGCGTCTTGTCCCCATTTGCCCGAAGATAATTGTAGTCAAGCCAGGATGAAATACTTTCCATGTCTTTATTTAAGGTAAATTGAAGCAGAGATGGGTTGTTGTCCACCCCGTATTGGGTAGTGTCGTCTGCGTAGAGGCGGAGTGACGAGACGGCAACTGTTTCGTTCATGTCATTCATACATTAAGATTTTAAACAGTAATGGACTAAGAATATTACCCTGAGGGACACCACAGCGTAGGGGTAACCAGTTAGAGCTTGAATCGTTGCATATTACCCTTTGTTTGCGGTCATGCAAATATGATCTTATAAGCTGAAGGGCTGGCTCTTGTACGCCATATGCCTTTAATTTTGCAAGGAGTAAATTATGGCAAAAACAGTCGAAAGCCTTTGATAGATCGATGGCAGCCACACCCACATCTTTCTTTTCGTCGAAAGCGCGTCTCTAATCATCTGTTAATTTGATCAACGCTGTAGCGCAAGAATGTCGCTTGGGAAAGCCCAGCAGATTAGATGAGAAAGTTGGTGTAAAGGAAGTGTACAGTTGATGAAACATTACTTTTTCGAAAAGCTTGGAGATTGCGGAGAGGACACTGACAGGTCGATAATTGATTTTGTCTGTCGTTTCACCCTTTTTGTGAATAGGGGTGACATTACTAATTTTCCATTCGCTGAGCAGGGCACTTTTGCGAATAAAGTGATTAAAGAGATTGGCTGGTGGCGAGGCTATGGATGGAGCGGATAGTTTTATGATCTTCGGGGAGAAATCGTCAGGACCAGTAGATTTCTTAGCATTTACCTTTAATAAGTAATCTGTTACTCTGTTACGGTTTCCGTAGTGATCTCCATAAAAGCAAAGTCTAGTTGGCAGCATTTGCTCCTAATTGTTGTAATGCTCGGGTGGTTATCAAAGTCATCTTTCGTCAAACATAACGCCGATATCCTGTATTCTTGGGTTCACAAAGAAGTCATTGACTGCAGTGCTGGGATTAGAAATGAGTTTCCCTTCGTCCAAGAGGTGGATATTGTTTGCACCATCAGCGTTAAACTTATTGTTTGGAAGAAGTGGTTTCAACTTTTTCCAGAATTCGCCAGGAAATGATATTCTTGAGGTTGCATCGATACAGAAATCATTAACTGCTTTGGTCCGTTGTTTTTTTGTAGTTAGCCCAGTTTAAGTTTGTTGATGCACGAATGAATTTCTTGTAAAGTCTATTACGTATGCGGATCTGCTTTTGAATATCCGGGCTAATCCACGGCAGCTGATTATCACGGAGCTGTACTCGTTTTACAGATGCATGCTCGACAAGAACCTGTTTGAAGAGACAAGACCAGTGACCAGCGACATAAGAGCTGTCCCAAGGAACGTTTTTAAGATCCGAGGAAAGCATTCATATCCAAATTTTTCACTGATCTGAACTCTATTGTTCTCGCTTTTCGGTTTTTGTTCTCACAACAAAGATTAGGTCGTAATCATTGATCCCAATGTGCAGAATTCCACTTGTCGATAGTCTCTCAGGGTGAGATGCTAAAATGATGTCCAGTACTGTACTTGAATAATTAGTCGTTCTCGTAGCCTCCTGAATAACGTTCGTTGGGCAGAATTGATCAATAAGGTTAGGCAGGACTTTATTAGGGACGTTCGGGTTACCGGTGGAACTTCAAGCATATTAAAATTCTCGATAAAAATTATTTCTTTACGTTCAGCGTACACCCTCTCTGCTGCTGACGAACAGGCTAGAATGAAATCCATAATTTTGAATTTACTAGGAGAGCGAAATCAGAAACCAATTATTTGCACTTGTTTTTACATCTAAACAAATAGATTCAACGCCCTATTGTGGCTCCACAGAGGTTTGGCCGTCGATAAGCCGTTACATTGGATCTTATGTAAACAAGCACTCCAACTCCTCCTTTCTTTCTCTCTCTTCTAATAATATTGCCAGTGAGCGAAGTGAGCGAATAAACAAGAAGAGACAGTACCATCAATCTTGCTTTCGCTGATGAAAAGAATGTCAAAAGCACACTTGTCGAGTATGATGATTAATAACTTCGTCCGATTTGCTATGAATGCTGTTAACATTTAGGTAGGCAGTCTTTAAGTTATTTTTGTAATAACCGTTTATATTGCAATAGAACCTCTCCATAGGTGAAACTGATCCTCTTCATGCTCAATATCGACAACAGCATCAACGACATCAAGAGATTTATCAACGAGACTATCGTTAAGAGACGAGACCCGATAAAAAGGTAGTTCAGCTAAAGAACCGTATCTGTCACATAGCCAGGAGTGAATTTTGCTCTCTTTGGGCATAGAGACGAGAAAACGCTGAGATTTGATACAATTGGAGTGACATGCATCTTTACATGTATTGCATATGTATTGATGTTAGTTTATGGTTTTTTCCAATACAAAGTTTTATCAGTTTCCGTCATAAATTTTTCTTCCATGACAAGAGACCGAAACAAAAAAAAAACATTTGATGTCATAAAACGACACTCACAGTAATAAGAAGCCAAGAGCCACTAAGAGCCGTCAGCCAAAGAGACTTTTTAGGTGCATTGTTGCAGGGATTTTGCACTGATTGGCTAGATTGTATATTGCGTATTGTATTTTCTGGCATTTGATTGGCTCAGACTAGCTGTCCTATTTTTCCTAAATAAGCAGTTTCTATATTTGTGAGGGAAAGTATTGTCTGAAACTATCCAAATTAATCCTTAACCGGACGGTTGTATAAACTAAAGGATAATAGCTTTGCTGACAATTTCGGATTAACTATCATGTAGCTACATAATAAAGACCACTAACCATGTGAAACGATGAAAAAGATATGACCAATGATGAAAATAATTAAATATTTTACGCCACAGCTAGTATTGGTACTTTGACTAATAAGTCTTCTTTAGTCTTCTGTGTTAAAGCCACACTTCGGAAAATGTGTGCGTGCTGTCAAAACAACGCTGATGACCCTGGTCGCACAGGTATTTTGTTATTTCCACTGCCCCCTCCCCCGAGTCAGCCCGTCATCAAATCCCGGCATTGGCCAGCCGCGTGGGGTTTTTATATAACTGACTAATGCGTTATTGTCAAAATGAGTTTAAAAAAACGAAAATTATACACCAGCTCGAATATACGAATTTTATCGGTTCTCGTGGCAAAAACAATATCTCACTCGTTCGCTAGGCTCACTCGTGTAATATTCCTCTTGTCACTGGAACATAAAAATTAATATCTTCTCGCCTCTGTGTAATATCGTTTGTTATATCAGGATTCGACTGTAAAACTGAAATAAGAAACAATTATGAAACAAAAAAGACAGGTTTTCCCTCAAGAAAAGGGTATCATTAATTAAAAATGATAAATAAATAAGATGCGTTTTATATCCCGAGTCAGCTAACTTTAACTTATCTGGTCTTCATGACAACATGTTATTATGGCTTTCACGCACATTCCTTCACTTTAAGTGCAGTTTGACATCCTACGATAGACGTGTTCTCTTAAAGACATCTCCAAGTAAAGATTTTTTTTTTCTCTATTTGAGGAAAGTTTTATTTTGTAGGGTTTATTCTCTTTATCAAATTAGGGGGTTAGTTAGCAGGTTTAAATTAACTGAAAATTGGGTTAAAGGGAAGGTAAAATTAGC